AAAACAATAGTGCTCTGCAATTTGAGCCACAGCTCTACTTCTGGCTTTTTGGTAATTTAATTAGAGATAAGAGTCAAGCTTTCCTGCCTGGGCTGGCTTCCAACCTCAATCCTCAGATCTCAGCTTCCTGAGTAGCTAAGATTACAGGCGTGAGCCACCAGCAACAGCTTGATCACCGCTGTCTTATGACACCATGTTTAGGATAATGTGTCATGAGGCAGCAGATAATCGATAAAGATGGATGACAATTGAGAAAAATTAGTAGCTTAAATAAACATTCCGCTTCTTTTTCCTTGGAGCTGGTGGTGAGCAAGCCGGCTGACACAGCAGCTACCACCGCATCACCAGAAGCGGATGCTGTTCTTAGTCTCAGCACATGTACAATTTTCAAGGTTACCTACTGATCCGAGAGAGCTGCTGGAGTTCCAGCTATCCTGGGTGAAGTTCTGGGAGAATGCAGACAGGGCAAGATTGTTTCTATTTCAAGGAACAGGGTTGGAAATCTCTCTAAATGCCTTCAGCTTGACTCTCCTATCCCAGAATCAAGTCCCACAGTGCCACCCTGTGTGCCAGGGAAGCTGGAAATGTTACCTTTTAGCTGGGTTCCTATCACACAAAGACCTGCAGCTCTGTGATTAAGGGGGAGCAGCCTGTGGGCATGTTTGACTGTGATGTTGGGTATCTTGCCAAGGGGAGGGGCTGGCGCCCCTGCCCACTGCGCCTTCTCTAACGCACGGACACCACAGGATGTTCTGCTTCTGTTACTTTTCAACAAAGAACCTGTTTCACTGGCAAGGAAGGGTGGCCGTGGGCTGGTGCTCAGGCAGAACTCCAGTCCCCAGGCTACCCTCCCACGTGGCCAGCGAGCAAGTTCGCTCAGCAACCTGACGTGCAGCCCTGGCCTCTTCACCTTTCTCTCAGCCTCCTCCCGTGGTTTCAGCTCATCCCAGTTTAAAGAACCTGAGGTTTGGACTGGAACCAGTTTGTTGTTTCTGTCTAATCATCCCTTCTTCAAGCCCTGTGCCTTTGTCAGGCCACATCCACCGCTCAGAAACTCCTCTTCCCTGTGCGTGCTGGGGGTACCCTACCCACTCTCTGCACCCTTCTAAGACCACTCATGGTACCTGTGAGTGAACTAGAAAAGGTGCCATGCCAAGTGCCAGGGACTCAGGTCTGTAATCCTGACATCAAAGGATTAAGGCAAGTCAGGGACTGGGAAAGTGGCTCAATGGTAGAGTGCTTGCCTTGCATGCCTCATTGAGGCCCTAGGTTCGATTCCTCAGCACCACATAAAGATGGCTCAAGTGTTAAGAGTGCTAGCCTTGAGCTGAAGAGTGGGGGGACAGCGCCCAGGCTCAGAGTTCAGGCCCTACGACCACTAACAACAACAAAAAGTTTGTATCTCCAATTAACTAGCAAAATGCTACTGGAGGCATGCCTGGCTCAAGTGGTAGAACACCAGCTGTGAGCAAGCAAAGTTCTGAGTTCATGCCACATTACTTGCATACAAACACACAAGGGTGCCTTTTTCCAAATGAATGCAACTTTATATCAGGACTGGAGGGAGTAGATTCCACCATGTTTGACCCTTGGTCCTGTGCACAATAAACATCCTGAATAAATGTCCATGTCTAAGTGAAGATGCCACCCATGTACCTTTTTTTTTAGTGCCAGTCCTGGGGCTTGAACTCAGAGCCTGGGCACTGTCCCTGAACTTTTGTGCTCAAGGCTAATGACCTACTACTTGAGCCAGAGCTCCATTTCCAGCCTCTTAGAAAACTGGCAATGTAAGAGTCTCAAGGACATTCCTGCCCGGGCTAGCTTTGAACCACAATCCTCAGATTTCAGCCTCTTGAGTAGCTTGGATTACAGGCATGAGCCACCTGGCTGGCCCATGTACCTTTCTGAGCTCCCTTAGTGAAGCCTTTCCTTTGCCCCTGTTCTTTCTTTGGATCCCTGCTGCCTTGCCCTGATTTGGGGCTATTTCCAGCTTTATGTTCCCCAACCTGCTCAGCACCCATCCTCCAGGCTGCATCGGCATCCATGAGGACACTGAATTTGAGTCACAGGCCACAATGCTCTCACCACAGACCAAACACCTGGCTGGAAGAAGGGCACCATGGGAGGGACCCAGGCCCAGATCCTTGGGTTCAGTAGATCTGTAGCTCCAGGCATCTAAAAGCTGAGTAGATTAGTGGTAGGAACCCAGGAGACCCAGGGCCCCATGCCCACCAACCAACAAACTGAAACACCAAAGTGAGTCTCTGCAGGTCATGCAGAGCAGCGAGAGTCCCTCTCTACTTCTCTGGTCCCAACCTCAGTCCCCTCCAGGCAGCCAGCCCTGCTCCCCCATCGTACCTGCAGGGGTGGCCTCAGAACCAGCAATCAGCACCGCAGGAAGCCTTCCACTTCATACATTTATTGAATCTGCATCTTCTCTGCCTCCTCCCTCCCCGCCGGCCCCTGAGAGGGGGTGGAGCCCCAGTTGGAAGGGAAGGGAGGGACTCTTCTCTCCTCCCTGGGGAGGGGCTGTGTCCCCTAGCCAGGCTCCGTGGATGGGAGAAGCAGGAGTTTCCAGGGAAGGCAAGGGCATCGTCCAAGAAGCCGTGGCCGGGGTCAGGCCCCTCGGATGCCCCGTGGCCCTAAGTCCCATGGATGGTCAGGAAGGTGAAAAGCAGAGAAACCTGGGGCGAGGGTGCGGGTCACGCCCAGGATGTGTGCATGGCGGACAGTGGCGGACAAGGACACGGAGAGGCAGGAACACCTAGGAAAGTGCTGGGGTGTTGGAGACTTTGGGTCTCAGGGGAGCTGGGGGGAAGGGAACAGTGTGGGTGGGGTGGGCAAAGCTATGTCCCAAGAACCAGGCTCCCGAGGAGGAGGGCTGTACCAGAGGCTCCAATCAGAGGGTGAGCCCCTGGCACCTGGCAGGGCAGGGGTTAGGGCCAAGCTTCTGGTCACCTGAGCCAGCTCCAGCTCGCCGGATCCGGACAGGCCAAACTAACCCATCTGTGTGTGCTTCTGAGTTGTTCAGGGCCCCAAAGTGGCCTCCAGGCAGCCCTCAGCTGCAGGCGACAGCTGTTCCCAGGACTCCCCCGCGACCCCCACTCCATTTTTTCTGGACGCTTCCTCTCCTTTGCCAAGGGCAAGAGGGCCCCAAACCAGATCCCATGCCATCACAGCTCCGTCCGAGAGGAGCCCAGCTGGGGGGACAGTTCACAGGCTCCAACCTCACCCCAAGTGGCCGTGTGTTAGCCTGGGGACCCCACCCCCACCCTCTGTGCGGCGCGGCCGGCTGCTTCCCCCCCCTACTCCCCCTCCACCCCCGGGTGTCTGGAAGGATCGCCCCGGGGCGGCGGGGGGGCGGAGGGACGTCAGCGCGCGCCCTGCCCGTCCCCCCGGCAGCCGCTGTCCCCGTGGACGATGAGCACGGGGAAGTAGAGGGCGTCCTCGTAGCACGGGGGGCTTTCCAGGGGCTCCGTGTCCTCCCCGCGGCGGCCCAGCGGGCCCCCACTCAGGCTGCGGAAGACGCCCGGC